TAATAGGTATGGGACAGCACTATGCTGCAACATATTACGTTACCATGAAAACGACAAAAAATATGATGTATAATTGTGTGTATTTATTGTATACTTTGTACTCCCTGATGTGAACGTCTTCAGGCTCTTTCCTCACTAGATGAGAGGTAATTTCATATCATCTATTTACTCGTGTTTGTCAAAACAGCTTCAATGACAAAATCAAATATTTGATGAATAAATAAATAAATATCTTCTGATTTCATGCTTATTTTTTGTTCCATCTTTAACCCTTAATGTTTCTGAGTAAATTTAATAAGACTGAACACACGTGATCAGTCCTCTTTGTTGACCTTTTTTTTTTTTTTTTAACGTCTCCTGCGTCCACCGGTTACCCCGTGTTTAACATCACATTGCAATGATTTGTGGGTAATTCCCTTAGGAATTACCCACAAATCTTTATGAAAGGGTTCATAAAGGGCTCAACATGTCTACGAGAGACTCAAGCACTTGATGATTTGACAGTGGGACATCCCTAAACCCTCACGGACTTCAAGGGAGCGCGCCTCAAAGTCTGTGAGTCCGTAAGGGGGGACATTGGGATTTGGCCATTCAGTTGCTCATGTCCGTAAAATTTTAAGTCATTTGGACATACAGGCTGTCGGGGCTTGCCTTTCCAAATTCTAGGGGGCGCTAGCGAGCAATTTTGTCATGCTCGAGCATGGGACCCATAAAATATCTAATTTTCTCGCGGTCCTGATATGCTCGCCAAATATGGGGATGTTGGGGACATGATAAAGCCCCCGAAAAGGCGTTTCATTCGAGAGAAAAAGAATAATAATAATAAGAATTCCTACAGTTTCAATAGGGACCTCGCGGCCTGACGTTGTCGGTGCTCGGGCCCTAATAAATGTTAAATACATGTGTAAGCAACCATCGGACAAGGATTTAGGGATTTACTACTATGGATGGGAACCGACACCGGTTCCTTAGAATCTCATGTCACGTGACTCAGGATGAAATTTACCACCTCGATCAATTATCTGTTCATCTTTTAGAGTTAATGAAATAGACGCATACAATATTTTATGTTTGGCACCAAATAAAAGAACAGATCAAGATAATCATACTGTATTGGTCAATTTCAATGACTGCTTCCTCTTATCGATGCTTTTTGACAGTCATCCTATCCACTGAAAGTAGTTCATCATTTGGCAAAAACACAACGTACATTTCAGAATCAGATCAATAACAGGAGTTGATAATTGGATTACCCTAACCTTTGGTATCAATCTACACACACCAGACTTTCTGTCTTTATGGGGACCAGTTTACACAGATTACAGTTAATCATCAGAACCATTAAATAACATGTAAATAAATCTGATGTGAACTCACAGGGTGGAGTTTACACTGCAACTCTGTGAACTTCCTGTTTCCACAGTCACAGCGGAAGTTCCTACAGAAAACAGAAAGTTTGTTTACAGAAAAGAGAGGTACAGTTTGTTTACTGAAAGCAGGAGAACAGTTTGTTTGTTTGTTTACAGAAAGCTGAAGAGTTTATTTGTTTACCTCTTGGTGTAGAGTTCAAAGAGGTCATGACCTTCGTGACATTTGTATGAGCAGGCCAGACAGACTCCTGCTGCTTCTCCTCCCTTTGGTCTGCAGCTGTTACAGGCATACAGAGCCTGACGCTTCACATAGCCCTGAAACACATATAAACACATATATAAACAAACACACATATAGGAGGAGGAGGAGCAGGAGGATCAGGTCTTCTCAGGGGGAGGTGATGAGATTATAACATATTGAGTGAATGATGGAGGCTCATGATTAAAGTCATGACGTCACTCTGCAGCCAGTTAGTGTTTGAGTGGATGACATCACAGGCAGCATCAGCGTTAGCAGGGGGGGGAATAATACGTCATCATTAAATACTGCCAGACCTCCTCCAGACCTCCTTCATCCTGTCCACCAGAATTATCCAGAAACTGTCCAGAGTTATGTCTCATAGAGCAGACAGTTACACTGCAGGTCTTTACTCTAATGACAGGTCTCACATTCCTCATGAGGACGGAGGAGAGGAGGGAAGAGAGGACGGAAGAGAGAACTTAATATCGTCTCTCCTCCTCAGCTCGTAGAGGAACCTCTGGTCTCTCCTCCGGTAGCATCACGGTCGTGTTGCAGAATGCTAACAAAGGGGCCATGGTTATGTGCTGGATCCACAGGAGTGGTTGTAAACGGTGCACCAAACAGTACAGAGACCGAAGTTTAAAAAGTAATTTAAATAATACTATAAAAACTAAGTATGTTACAGAAACTGGAGGAACAAGCTCAACGGTGAGAAAGAGCTGCTGTACAAAGCCGCCATTTTGACATGGTACAGATTAATAACTAGCATTGGTAAGAGGAACAATATGTGTGTTTAATGTGGGAGTTCACTGACTCTTATAATATATATAATATATATATATATATATATATATATATATATATATATATATATATATATATATATATA